AGTTTTTCTCATTCACTTCGTCTCATTTCACTTCACAGTTCGAATCAATTTCTTATTCTGTAGCGTATACTATTTACTGAATGCGTTGACGAGTGTTGACAGCCGAAATCAACAATACAGCAATTGTTCGACAGTCTAATAATCAATTATAGAGTGTATTTGATAGAATGAGAATTTGACTTTAATTATTCGGTGAAATGAATGAGAAATTAGCAAAAGAGAACACTTTTGGTGATAAAAGCCATGAGAGCGATTATAACAGCAAAGAAAAGAATAAAAAATCTTTTAAAACGAATGAAAACCATGTTAAACCCGGACGAGCTAATGATACTCAGAACACAGGAGAATGAAGAGTGTTGTCATCAACTAACCGCATTTATATATTCGTACTAACAACACCATCACGATCGTGTTCTATCATAAAACAACAACTGCACGAAATACTGATTTACCGCCCCCCCCCCCCCATTACCCCTTGACATGTTCAAATTACCCAAAATGGATAATTTCTCCCCCTATGAGAAACACCAGTATATCGCTATGTTTGTTCCGTTTCATAATGTTGATGTACCATATTTAGATCAATAGCCTTATAGGTAATTTTTGCTTTAATATATCCAGTTTATTGGTGGGAATTCGAACCGTTCTGAACGCAATGACAAAACAAATTTGAGTTTCTGATGCGTGAAGGCCAGTCGGCCCATCATTTTTGATGCCACCCACTGCTTTGCCAATTAAATGTTCCAAAATGTTCCAAGTAAGGTAGAGCACGATACGGACCGATTGAAATGATGAAAAAACTGATCGTGAGATGATTTCATACAATTCAACGATTGATTTATGATATTGGACTGACAAAATTACAATATTGGACTGATTGCATAAGGTACAACAATTTGCTGCATCATCTCATCGCAAATGCAATGAATCTATGAATGATTCTTGTGAAATGAATTTGAAATTGATTCAGATAGTTTCGATGAGAATAATTATTAGGGGAAAAATTTCATATAAAGTCTTTAAAAAATTCATATAAAATGAAAGCAATGGTTCACTAGTGAATGAACCAACATATACACTTCTTTATTTGATTCCGTTCTTAAAATCTACATTTTGCTAATAAAATGAACTAAAATACGCAAAATTGCAATGACGTCGAATCATGTACAATCATTCACAATTATTCATAAAACTGTTTTCAGAAATTGCTGAATTATGAGGCTAAAAGACGTTCCCACTGGGCCTCTAAAGACGAGTTTTAATCGGATAAAGATACAGTTTGGAATCAAGATATATTCAGTGCATTAATGAAAACAAAAGGACAAAAACAAATGACGGCAACAAAATATCAACAATATTACGGTTTTTCAACTATTATGCTTTGGCGTCCTCAACGGATTCTCACTCGATGATCACAAACAAAACAGTTTATTGCTAAATGAAAAAACAGTTTCCAGTTCCCCTTCTATTCGATGCTCGCTAGAAATATGCCAGATTATGAGCGCAATCGTAATCAAATACAATAATCGTACCCGCTGATGATTCTGTAGATTTCCACAGCCACCTGCTGCAATGCAACAAAATCATGTTATAGCACTCAAAATCTAGTAATATTATTTTTGTTCAGCCTATCATTCTTGTATGTGTTATTTCGACTGCAATTTTTCGGTATGCCAAATCCAAATTTAGTGTTTCCTGCGTCACAAGGTCACTCTTCCGTTTCAGTTGCAATATTCTCATCTTGATAAATTATTGGCATAAACTCAGTGAATAACACAATTCTTCGTGATGAAATCTGAGTACATCCAAAAAAAATGTTACAACTTAGCGAATGTTTCTCGTCCTCAGAAAATGACTTTCAGAAATATAAATATTGTGACAAAATACTCCCACCCGCAAACGACAGTAAAGTTTGGTCGAGTGCAGTAAACAGAACGAGTTCAGGATGTTCAGCGTAATGTTCATCGACGTATCGATGCAATCCCATCGGGCACACACCCGTATAATAGCAAATGAAGTCGTGATATGCCGTCAGTCGAACGAAAATCTCAAAATATGGCTGCAAATACTCAATTTATTATGAGCGAATTTCGGGATCTCTCATGAACACAGAAATTTCTCATAATTGAATATATTTGATGCGTGCTCGAAATTTGTGAACAAGTAAGAGAATGCACGCGATGGGCAACCTGATCACCCACAAAGCAACTTGATCATCAAATAAATCCGATGTACTTTAGAGATGACTGCTTGAAAAGTTTCAAAACGTCAATATAATATCGGTAAGGAATAAGAAGCAAAAATTCTGGAAGTAGAAATTCGAGGTATCATTGATATATTTGAAAATCTAAACGTTCGTTTCAGCAATGGTTTGAATGCCATACAGAGGTAATGACGATGGCTACAACAACATAGCCATATGAAATAGACAGATTATGCAGATTTAATTCTATACCGACTATTAAAACTAGATTAGCGAACACTGACCTGTTGATCACAATGATTCGCCAGCGAGAGGATTCCGAAAAGGGTATTTCGGCCGTTTACAAACGCCGAAAGTCCGCCACCACTGTCACCCTCAACATTATTAATGTGAAGAGTGAATAGTTTGGAAATAAACAATGCTTTGGGATGAAACTCTCTCGGAATTAGTCTCTCAATTTTTACATCGTCAGCTATCTTAAAACCACCCAAAACGCTTAAATCAGTCCATGATTCTGATTTAACCTATTCCGTAAATACTCCGTGAAATTCACTTTTTCCGTAATTTTAATACTACTTGATATCTGAGGGTTATTTTATGAAAAACTGAAACGTTGTAGAAGTTAATGACACCCTGAAATTAATATGTAGTGGTTAGCACGGTGGTTCTCACGTTCGAGGGCTCCATTACCCCTTTTGATGATCTGGCAGGCCGTCGTTTCCCCCCCCCCCCTTCTTTTAAATATGTAAATCGCACATGTTATGTTCAGATGACCGTTACGTTCAATCTTATTAGCAGTTCCATGATGGTATTCAACTTCGCCGGGCCTTCCCTTAGATGCGTTGCTCGTTATTGCAATTGATTATAATTGCTTGAAAAGCTATTGTCTCAGACTGATTCAAACAGACTTCAAACTGATTTAGATGGATTCTCATTCTTTTCTGACGTGTTGTATTCAC